TTTATGATCTTTCTTCCATTTGTCTTGGCTCTTGCAGTGTGCCCAAGCCCATGCTTGATTGAGGGGTGTCTCCCTTGCTTGAATTAAGGCACTTTTGAATTATTTGCCTTCTTGTCACTTACTTGAGCCTTACCACTCAAGCAGCCCTTGCCAATGATCTCATTAAGTCTAACAATTTCTTTTCTCATTGCCTCCATGTTTGTAAGGTTAGTGGAATAAGCATTCAAATCAATATTATAACATTTTCTACAACCTTGACTAGTGGAGGTATTAGAGGCATCTTTTGCCTTAAAGGGATGTGAGTTGCTATCCCAAAGAATGTTATATTGTAGCTCAAGTTCTTTGTGCTTTTCATCTAAGTCACAATACTTTTTCTTGAGAGCAATATTTTCTTTCTTTGTGATAGCATGGTCCCCTTGTTTTTTGGCCAAGGCTTTGCGTAAGGATTCTACCTCACTTCTCTCTAATGCAAGAGCTTCTTTACTAGCAATGTAGAGATCCTCTTAATAGATAAGAGTCTCTTCTCTAGATTCTAGCTCGGCTTGGATACTCTAAATCCTCCATTAGCTTAGTGATGAATAATTTGGTCTTTCCATCTAATTTTTTAGTTATCTTGTTTATTTCTTCATCACTAGATTCATCATCACTAGAGCTATCACTAATATCACTACTAGAGATATCACTAGGAGATGGAGGTGGAGGAGCTTTGGCCTTGGATTTAGATTTTACCTTCTCACCCTTTGCCATAAGACAAATATGAGGGAAGTAGTAGTCATCATCGGACATGTTGGTGAAGAGTCTTGGTGAAGAAGATGGCTCATGGATAGCAATGGTTGCAACTTTATCATGTTCTTCACTTGAGCTTTTAATAGATGAATCCCATTCATGCCCAATGTGAGCTTCTCCCATGTTTTTCTTGCTCTTTCTCCTGTCGGACTTGTCCTCCTTCTCTTTCTTATGCTTGTTCTCCTTGATCTCATATGGGCACTTGGCAATGAAAGTGATCGGTGCTTCCACAATTATAGCATGTCCTCTTCTTATTTGGAAACTTCCTCTTTACTACCGTGTACCCTTGCTTCTTCAACCCTTTGTGATACCTCTTCATAAAGAGAGCAACATCATCAACTTTCTCATATTGATCATCATCATTTTCACTTTCACTTAAAAATGATGTGGTCTCTACTCTTTCTTAAACTTGCTTGCTTGCTTTGGGCTTGCTAGTTGAAGCTTGTTGGTTGATCTTGGACTTGCTTGTAGAGCCTTGCTTGCTTGATTTGTTGGCCTTGAGAGGTACATCTTTGATCTTGATGCCCTCTAACTTTGCTTGCAATTCTCCAAGTTTTTTCCTCTCATTTGCTTCTTCTCTTTGCATGTCAAAGGTCAAGATCCTTCCAAGTATATTATTTGGTGTGAAGTACTCAAACTTCTTCTTGTCTCTAATTAGAGTGACTACGGTCTCATTTCTAGGTGAATAAGCTTCCAACATATTCTTGACAACTTTATGATCATCTAGCTCATCACAACCATAGCCTCTAATCTTACCCACCATTGACATCAACCTATCAAACATTTCTTGTGGCCCTTCTTCATCCAAGATAACAAATCGATTGAGCTTTGGACATCAACAAATCAATTCTTGTCTTTCTCACTTTGTCAACCCCTTCATGTACAAGATGTAAAGTATCCCAAATTTGCTTGGCAACATCCACACCAATCACTCTATTGTACTCATCACCATCTAAGGCACTAAGTAGCACACTAGTAGCTTGACCATTGAGATGGATGATTCTTATTTCTTCCATGGTTGGATTCTTGAAATCAACAGGTGGCTCAAATCCATTGTAAACAACCTCCCAAATGCCGGGATGAAGACCTATAAGATAGGCTCTCATCAAGTGCTTTCACCTGGCAAAGTTAGTCCCATCGAAATGATGTAACTTACTGACGGGCACATTGATGAAAGACTTGCGATCATGGTTAGTTATAGACATAGAAGAATAGTTAAAGGATACGACGTCATATTTGTTGTCGTCATTCTTCTTGCCATTTCCTTTCTTGTCCTTCTTGTTATGCACTTGGTAGGACTCATCATCATTACCATCTTCGGAGCTGCTAGATAGCTCACTTGAAGATGCATTGGAGGCTTTTGCTTCTTGTTCCTTCTTCTTTCTTACTTCTCTTCTTTTTCTTCTAACTTCTCTCTTGAGTCTTCTTTCTTCTTTTCTTGCTTTTTTCTCTTTTAACCGTTGCTGCTCCTTCTTCTTCTTCTCTCTTTCTTCTCTTTTCTAGCTGCCCTTCTTCTTCTTCTTTCTTCTTCATTTTGAGCTTTTTCGGCATCGGTTGCCTCTAGCTGCGGGAACATGGAGTTGCTCACTGTAGAGGCGCTAAGCTCGCTGCTATCGGTGTCATGCAGCCCAATGTTCTTCGGATCGACGTTGATGGGCTTCACAACACTAGATCCTCCCTCGAGCTCCATACCTCACGCGGTGAGGCGCACACGAGGTAAACCTGCTCTGATACCACTTGTAGGATCTTTGATATGCCTAGAGGGGGGTGAATAGGCCTGTAAAAATTCAACTCAAACCAAAGTCAAATTCACCCGCGGCACTGTCGCTCCAAACAGCGGCACTGTCGCACCTGTAAGAGAGATTAGTTCACAGTTCAAAATCTACCCAATAAAATTTAGATCGGGTAAATTTCTTAGCTTCCTGCAGGGTAGTAGATCATAGATCGACAACTGAAAGTGGTGGGAGCACCACACACAAGTAGGTCAGCCTCAAACTCTAGAAATCACCTCAACAACAACAAGAACACAAGTGTAGCAACACAAGCACAAGATGATACAAGGATTTATCCCGTGGTTCAGCTTGTCACCAAAGCTTGCCTAAGTCCACGTTGTTGAGGTATGCCACTAAGGCTTAGGGATTTGCAACCCTACCTCGTTCTCAAGTCAAGAGAGTGAACTCTTGAGATGAGGGGTGATTTTACTTGCTGTAAGAGATTGTTACAAACCTCCTAGGGCTGCCACACAAGTTGGCAAGCACACGGGCGACGCTCTAGTCGGCCAGGAGCCAAGCTCCAAGAGTAACAAACACAACCGTCGGCTAAGACGTGAACCAAATGCTCTTTAGAATTTGGGAATCAATGGAGCTGCTCTCTAATTAAGTTTTGGACCCTTATCCCTCAAGAATTGATGGAGAAATTAATGAATTTGCTTAGGGGCTTGAGGTCAACAATGGAGTGAGAGAAAGAGAGCTCCTGCTCTGTTTTAAGCATTCTGAAGTGAGGAAGAAGAGAGCAGAGTTTGTTCGTTACCGTTGTGAAGGAAGGAGAAAGATATATATAACCCCTAGCCCCCAACGGCCACTTCAATCGTAGATAGCCGTTGGGAAAGAAAGGAAAGGTATATATACCCTCAGTCCTCAATGGACACTGCACCCAAGAGGTCGGGCAAGACGAGGTCGTGACCAAAGGGTCAGGCGAGCCGGAGCCCGCGACCTTGGGGTCGGACGAGACGGAGCCCGCGACCAAAGGGTCGGGCGAACCGGAGCCCGCGCCCAAGGGGTCGGGTGAGTCAGAGCTCACACCCAAGGGGTTGGGCGAGTCAGAGCTCGCACCCCGCAAGACAGTAAGGGTAATAGTGAAGGTAAACTGTCTTGGCTTTGAATCTAAGGATACATGTGGTTGTTTGAGCACTTGGTAGCACATGTTAGCTTAAGCATTGTGTCTTCCTTTATAGTACGGCTTTTCCTATACTAAAATTCAATATATAAAAGAATTTAAACCTCATTTGAGTTTGAAACCATCTACATTCGTAATTAGGGGCTCCTCCGTTTCGTGTAGCATCCTCGAATATAAATTTCCTGCTTGTCATCTTCATAAATCTCATTAGTTCTCTAATTGCGTGGTTATTATCACCAAAACCCACAATTAAGGCTTGATTGTACTTACACTCCGCCTTGGTGCTAACACACGCCCCATCCGGCGCCGCTTGCTCGACCCCGTCGCAAGCGCTTCTCGCCCCCTCCCGCCACGAGCGTCGCCCGCCCGCCCGAGCCAGACCGGTGCTAGCGGCGCTGGTGCGCGCGCGGCGGTGGTGCTAGTGCGCCCGCATGTGGTGGCGGTGGTGCTCGCGCGCCGCCGCTCGCTGCCAGCTCGGACCCCGGTGGCTGGAATGGACCGACACCGACCTTCCCCTCTCCTATGTTGCATATGTATGTTTTAATTGTTTCAGACGTTTCAGATGTATGTTGTAGTTGTTTCATTTTGATATTGCAAAAGTAGATCGGGGGATGTTGCATATGTTGCAAGTGATGCATGTTGCAAGCGTTTGTTCAAAATGTTTCATCTGTTTTCAGACGTATGTTGCAATCGTTTTTGGTTTAGATGTTGCAAGCATACGTTTCAGTGTTTCATACGTATGTTTGCAGGTGCTTCATCTATATTTTGTATATGTTTGCAGTGGTTTTCAAATGTTTCTCAGGTGTTTTAGCAAGTGTTTGTGATGCTTTGTTTTAAGTGTTTCATTTGTCTTTTTATTTTTGTATGTTGCAACTGTTTCATCTGGATATTTCAAAAGTAGATCGGGTGTTGCATATGGGATGCGTGTGGGAAACGACGTGTGGCGCGGACGATGTTCGACGACTTGGGCCCACTGCTGGTGCACTCGCTTACGATCCCGACGCACTAGGCGCTCTCCGTTCATATGCGGGCAGCGTCCGGACACTAGCGCATGGATCAGATGTTACTATTCACTGTTTTGTTAGCATGGCTGATAAGTTTAACGGAACAGGGCTTGTCTCCTAATCTAAAATCTCTCGGTCAACGAGATTTTTGCAAGCAAAAGCATTTGAAGGCCCTGAGAGTATCCACACCCAGAAGGCCAGAACCGCTAGCTCCTCGGCTCCTCCGACGTACCCTTCTGCGGCTCCGCCCCAGCGCGAAACGCCGAAACCCTACCTTCGGCTTCTCCGCCCCCGCCCCTCCGCCAACCAGGCGAGATGTCGTCGGGCGGCGGTGGAGGGCAGCAGTTCCGCTACACGCAGACGCCGTCCAAGGTGCTGCACCTGCGGAACCTTCCGTGGGAGTGCGCGGAAGAGGAGCTCGTCGAGCTCTGCAAGCCCTTCGGCCGCATCGTCAACACCAAGAGCGGCGTCGGCGCCAACCGCAACCAGGCCTTCGTCGAGTTCGTAAGTCCTTCCCCCGTCCCTCACTCCCTCCTTCGTCTTTACCCTGCCCCATCGATATCATCCGCGATCCGGCCGGGGATTCGGGGCGGGCGCGCCGCTGGATGTTCTGTGTGGTTTCGTACGTAGCACATGAAATTGATTTGGTCAGCAGTTGATCTAGCTATGTTTAACCTGCGTGGTATTGGAATTTTGTCAGCGCTCTGGATTTGGGTTAGATCTCGCAGGAGTCAGCGAAGATTCCTTCGTATTCACACTTGATCAAACCTGTTTTGAGTGGACCGATCAATTCTTGGAAGCTGCACAATTATGTTGTGTTGAGTTGCATAGACTTGATCAAACCTGTTTGAGTGGATAGATCAATTCTTGAAGCTGCATAATTATGTTGTGTTGACTGGACCATTCCTCGCAAAAAAAAATGTTGTGTTCAGTGGACCAATCTATTCTGGCGGATGATTTGGCTGTTCATACTGGAGATACATGTGGCACTCTTTATTTTTGTGTTTATGGTAGGATGCCCTGCCAGGATTGAGTGAATTTATATGGCTGGTAGAACCTTTCATTCATTTGTGTGTGTGCACGTTTGGGTGGAGGGGGAGTATAGTAGTGGGGGCTGTAGATTTGGCGTAACTCGGAAGCTCCCTTGCTCGAAATCAAATCACTTATGTGAAATGCTACTGGTTTAGTGCCAAATGCTCATGGCAGGATTACTTATGCGAAATTAATTTCCTTTGCAGACTGACGTTAATCAGGCAATCTCGATGGTTTCTTACTTTGCATCATCTTCAGAACCAGCACAAATCCGAGGCAAGACTGTTTACATTCAGTATTCAAATAGGCAAGAAATAATTAACAACAAGAGTCCTGGAGAGACGGCTGGAAATGTCTTGCTTGTTACTATGGAGGGTGTTCAAGCTAGTGATGTCACCATTGATGTGATCCATATGGTGAGTTCTAAAATCCTTTCTTTTCCTGTTTTCTAAAGTACTTAGATGGTTGTGTTAGTATGGTAATGACAAACCTCAAGTATGCCTGTTACTTTCTTGATTGCCATTGACTGAAGGAATCCAAGGGAGTCTACCTGACCTGATCCTTGTAAATCAAAGATTTTACATAGATGTTCATCTCGTAGTAACATATTCTGCATGAATCAGCAGGCCCATGTTAACTGGAGAAAATGTCGTTATCAACACCTGCAATTGGAGAGATACCATGTTTGTTTTGCAGCCTCTATCTTCTAACTAGTACATTCAAAGTTCTTATGAACTCTCATGTCTCATCTTGAGGATGCAACTTTCTAAGTATACCCCATCAACGCGCTTATCTCCGGTGTAGGGCACCTCCTGTTTATCCAAGTTACTGATGAAAGGTTAAATTCCAAACCTTTAGACCATAAGTATCTCTATGGTGCTTATTTTTAGATCATTGTTTGGTGATATTATACATTTCTGCCTTTTTATTTTAACAGCACGTTGAATTTCATTCATTGCTTCTCGCTCGCTGACCCTTCCCCTTTTTTGTTTGGGTGAGAGATAAGCTTCAAGTGTTTATATCCTTTGTTTGGAAATTATGTTTATTTTTATTATCAAATATTATGTGCTATCACTGTGTGCTGTACTGCAGAATCTTTTACATGTGCCATGAGATTGGTATGCATTTCCTAAAACAATCTTCCCCTTACCTCCTATGTATGATCCTTTTTTTGTATTCCTTTCAGGTTTTCTCGGCTTTTGGGTATGTTCATAAAATAGCCACCTTTGAAAAGGCTGCAGGTTTTCAGGTCAGGGTAAAGTTACATGCTTCAGATATGTAGTAATTTTGAAATGAACATCAAGAGCCTCATCTTATTCTCTCTGGCAGGCGTTGATCCAGTACACTGATGCAGCCACTGCTTCAGCTGCTAGAGACGCCTTAGATGGAAGGAGCATCCCAAGGTGACATGTTGTGGTCTTTCCTTGTGTTATCCATTTTTTGTTTGTTGTACTTTCTTATGCTTGTTATAAACTGATTTTTTCTTTGGATCTTTATCGTAGTTACTTGCTTCCAGAGCATGTGACATCCTGCTGCCTGCGAATTTCCTTTTCTGCACATCAGGATTTGAACATCAAGTTTCAGTCAAACCGCAGCAGGTAATGCCCATAATTTGTTTTCATGGAGTTAGTTATTCATTATTATTTCTGATGGAAGATCCATCCTTTTGTCCCATGTCCTCTTTTAAGTTATTTGACCATTCACTGCTTTATGTTCTTGCCTGATCAGTTCTCAATATAAATACCATAACCCTCGTAAAAAAAGTATAAGTACCATAACATGACTCATAAGCAACACAAGAGGTTATGGACATCAAATTGCATGAGATTATAAGATGCCCATCTTAGCATGTTTAGAAACTGTAGAATAATATGTCATTGAATTTTCATGTTGAAGGCATATGACCTGCTTTGTGAGGTTCTAATAGCCTGCGTTAGAAATACAGCAGTTGTGTTTTTTTACTTTTGCACTAAAAGTAACGTGTGTTGATAAATCACTAAATCATAGAAGCACAGTGACAAGGTTCTTGGTTTCCTTTTTACTGTTAATGTACAGAACCTGATGACTTAGCCATTGCCTTAGTTTGACTAATGATCAATACCCATGTACTCTTCAAACTGCAAAAGTGCAAAACAAATCAGAACTCTACAATGTTCACCGCGAAGTATGTTCCTACTCCCTTGTTCCTGCAATTTTCTCATCCAGTATCGAAAGAACTACTTGTCCAGTTGCTCCTTCAACTCCTGAAGTTCATGCCCATTCTTCTTTAAAAGAAATTGCTTGACTTAGATAGTATTAGGGTGAGATTCTCATTGAAATCTTATTGGTTGTCGTATGCCCATATTATCACTTGGTTTTTCATTTTTCTACGAACCCTGAGATAATTTGTACGAAACATTGCTTGCCCCTTTGGTCTTTTTTTTTAAAGACCTGAATGTTTGGACTTGTCGTGCTAGGACATAGCTTATTGTCATATGTTTCTCCTGTTCCAATCTTACCATTTTATTCGTGCAAGTATGCAAAATAACTCTAGTTATATTGTTGGAGACATGCTTTTGTTTCACTCCACCATTGTTTAAAATTGCTTTTATTGTTATCTTGCAGGGATTATAATAATCCGTATCTTCCAATTAATTATTCTGCCATGGATGGTACATTACAGGTATTTACTTTTTCAGAAGACCATGGGCATTCTAGTATTTCAATTTTGTCTGTTTTGCTATTTTATATGAACATGCTGTTTTTTCTTTTGATGTGCTGGCACAGCCTGCTGTTGGAGCTGACGGAAGGAAAGTGGAGGCTCAAGGCAATGTTCTTCTTGCATCAATTGAGAATATGCAATATGCTGTTACTGTAGACGTTCTACATACTGTAAGTCAGATTGTGAAGACAATTTTAAAACATGCTTAAAATTTTGTTGTTTTCTCTTTTATCTGTGCTAACTATGATAATGAAACTACAGGTGTTCTCATCATTTGGTACAGTCCAGAAAATTGCTATTTTTGAGAAGAATGGGGGAACACAAGCTTTGATTCAGTACCCTGGTATGCGTCTAGAAATTGATCATTCCAGGCTTTAAATCACTAAGGGCCCGTTTGGATCCTTGGAATTGAATTCATTCTAATAATTACAATTTAGGCATAGATTAATTAAGCTAATATAGTTATATATGGAATATATTTGTATATTTATTGTTAGGCATACAAGGGACATACTTATATGTTGCATATCTATTGTAGGAAAGTGAGTTGAAGAGTGTGCTATAAGTTGGAGAATAGAATTATAGCATAGTGATCTATAGAATCCATTTCCATCTCCTACCCTATGAATTTGAGATAGGCTTATTTGTGAGCTTGGGAATGTTATGGAATGCCAAATTCCAAGCCAAATAGCCTAATCCATTATGTAGATTTCAATTCCTCCAAAATGAAGGGATCCAAACGGCCCCTAAGGGTACGTTTGGTTCCCGAGCGAGCGTAGCCTGACCTGGCCAGCCTGGGCAAGCTTACCTTGCCAACACCGGCGAGCCAAATTCGCTCACCTGTGAAAGCAAGCAAAAAGCTTGCTAGCTCCAGCCTCCAGGTTCCAAGGAAACCTCACCCAGCAACCAAACGGCCATGTATCTTCGATTTCTGACTCAACCAGGCAACACATTACTTGTCAAAGAAACCAAACGTACCCTAAGCTTTACCGGAAGATGTTTAAGTAGCCATAGTTGGGGTGGTGTTTGCTGGCGGACTTTGTTTGTTTTGCTATCTTGCTTGTTGTGTTCGGAAGGGCCAATGCCAGCTGATCAATTGGTGATCAAGCTGGTGATGGGAGGTTAATGACTGAACTTGTGAACTTTGTAATTTTGTTGCTTTGGTAATGAAACTCGGTTTTACCATGTTGGAAAAAATCACTAGGATTTGAACTAGCGGTTTGATCTCCTTGTCTGGAAAATTAGCAAATTTCCCCTTGATACATTGAACATCTTACTTTCCTTTTGCAGTAATGGTTTACCATCTGCCAACTGTGAAGTACTTAGATCTCCACCCAAAAACTTTGTTTTTCCTTATCAGATGATGTTTTGCCAAAACCCAATGTGAAAGTGGTTTTCCTGTGTTATAATGAAACAAGAGGCTTTCACATCTTTAGGATGCCATTGGCATCTCCTGAGACCCTGGAGTCCTTGATTAATCTGCTTATAGTAGCATTGACTTTCTGACTAAACATGCAGCTGATTATTCCATTTTTCATGTGCTTCTGTATAGAAATTATTCATCTGAATCTGATGTCTTTCCCTACACTTTAGATGTAAATACAGCTGCTGTAGCGAAGGAAGCATTGGAAGGGCATTGCATCTATGATGGTGGCTACTGTAAGCTTCACCTGTCATACTCTCGTCATACTGATCTGAATGTGAAGGTATAATAGGTGCATTTTGTTTAGTGTTATTTGGTCATAAAAAAACCTTCTAGAAGATGATACATATAACCCCTTCACAGAACCCTCAGTTATAATACAGGGCGCCCCTTTTTTATGCCCGACATATGAAGTTATGTTCCCTTCATCTTTCAGGCACATGGTGACAAGAGCAGAGATTATACAATTCCAGCTGGCATAATCCAAGGGGTGCTGCAGCCACCTGGTGTACAAGCTACATCCTCTGGGTGGCAAGGTAACCTTCAAGCAGCTGGGGCATATGCCCCACCCGGTGCCCCTGCTCAAAGCCACAATGCCAATGGACAAGTGCCGAACTGGAATCCCGGCAACTCAGTGTATCCCCCAGCCCCAGGAACATATCCAGGCCAGATGTACTCATCTCCATCGCAGTATGCAACACCAGGGGGCTTCCCTAATACCCCATCCACCACTCCGCCGCAGTATGCAACGTCAGGGGGCTTCCCTAATACCCCATCCACTGCTCCGCCACAGTATGCAGCATCAGGGGGCTTCCCTAACACCCCAACCGGTGCCCCTCCTGGTGCTCTGCCACAACAGTTGCACGCTTCGCAGCAGATGCCGCCTCAGCATGAAAATCAGTCACGAGGCACACCTGGAACTAGCCAACCACCACCACCAGCATCATACTACCGTTAAGTTGAATCTTCTTTTGCTATTGTACTTGACCTGTTTTTTCTACTGAGCTATTCATCATGTAATACTGCAATACCGCCATCCATAACTGTGTTTAGATGGCAGTGATAGCATATAGATATGAGTAAGGAATACATGAATATGGTTGGGGTTTTCATTCATCATAAAAAATCGGTCAATGTTGGTTCATGGCAATTACTGGCAATATCATGATGAATGGTGGATTGGTGGTAGTGTTCTGAACAGAGCCCACCTCAGTGTACCTCTTGGGTAACATGGTTTCTCCACGTATACACCTAACGTCCAATTCTTTAGTTTTTTTTTAACGACTATGGAGAACCGCTCTCCATCTTCCTTTTTTTTCTTGCTGAAATGCCCTGAGCTGCCGCTGCGTGCTGTTCTTGGCCCATTTTATCTGTGAGGAGGGCTCCACGGAAGCTAATAATGCGCGCTGAATGCTGGGCTGGCATACATACTGCTCTCCACCGCCAAGCAATAGCGAACAACTCTTGTTTTGGGAGAGCAATGGTGATTTCTCAGACAAAAACACAATGCAAGTTGAAGCAAATTTGTTTTGGTTTCAATCTCCCTCATTTTCCGAATACACCAGCCTGCCATGGACTGCCTAATAACAACGCACGAACACTGAACACATAATAATCTTGTTACGCTAACAACCATACGGATCGATCAACCAATTTGATGTTGACGTTCTACCTGCCATCGATCACTTTTATTTAGTCGAAGTTCAAAGGTAAGAGCTTTGGACACTAATACATCTGTTCACCATACTCTGGCAGGCATCATGGTAGACAGTGAAGAGGTCTCAGCATAACTGCATAAGCGCTAGAAAAAGTTTAGAAGCGTATCTCTTTTGCTACTTTCTGAAAAATGTCTTTTTCTTCAGGAGAAATATTTCTCAGCAATGCATCATGCAAATGGAAAATGGGTTGTAGTGTTCGTCCTTTTCTGGAGCATGTCATATGAGAAATTAGCCAATCTTTATGCTGTCAGATATTCGTCGAAATGATGATCACTGAGAATGGCAGAATTCTTTAGTGAGCAGTGGATGTAGGAAAATCAAAAGATAAGGAAATGAGCAGGACGAGATAGAAAGCGGAGGTGGTTAAGCATAAAGCATTGGCATCGAAAGCTAAAATAAAGTGATAAAAGTGGGTCGCACACGGTTGCTCAAGTAATAAATATAAGTAAAACAAAAGGACCAAATTACTGTTCGTTCTAATCGCAAAATTGTCGGCCCCCTACTTATATTTATTACTTGAGCAGCTAAATTGTCCAAGTTTCTGAGCTTATATGTACATGAAAATGCACATAAAGGTAAGAAGGGGGCCGATTACTGTTCGTTCTAATCACAAAAAAAAAAAAAAACCTGACCAGACAACAAAATTGCAAGTTTTTTTTTGTTTCGCGACTATGTCTAAGCACGATTTTTTAATTAAAAGTAAGCAAAATTGTGAACTCCGAAACAGCTGTTTCTGCGCCAATTACGATGGCACAGTTTAAAGTCTGCATGGATGCTTCTGAGATCCAGTCCACAGCGTTTCCATTGATGAAGACTGAAAGATCCAGTACATGAACATCGAGGTTCTGTTCTTTGGTTGAGTGTGCCTGTACTCTGTAGCCTGTGCACATAGATATAGAGGCAGTCCTGTCTCTCTCTACTAGGTGCCAACAAGCTGTACCCAATCTGAGTCCGGAACAGTATTTTTTTCTCACAACAATTCAGTCAGAACAGTATTTTTCAGCTAGTTTCAGCCAAAATTCATCAAGCTGAACGGGGTCAAATATGCCTACAGATCTTGGATTCATCTCTCACCCACCAAATTGTTGGTTACCGGTTGCAACCGACAACCAAATGCAGAACAGCAAGGACATTTTCCTTCAAAACAAATAGTGCAGAAATGGCATGGAAGATGGCAAGGGAGCTCAGCTAGTAGCCCTACTAGTTCCAGTTGAACAGGCAGACTGAACACTGTTGAAATGGCAAACAGAGGAGGGTTGCAAGTTCATAACCAGGCAGCTCAAGTTGTTGCCATGAAGAGATCACTCATCAGAGTTCTGTCTGCAGATCTTGCCTGCACATTTAGTGCCCCCACATGCAGCCTCACCTGCAATACGTCTTTTCCTTCTTGTGAAGAGGGTCCTGCGGCGATCTTGTTGGTGGAGTGGAGTGGTCTAGAGATCTCGGCACCATGTCATGGGTTACATATGTGATGCTGCTGCTGGTTCTGTACGTCTTTGTGACTGAGTATGCAGCATTCATCAATCTGCTCATCAGTCTCACGCGTGCGAACACGGGGGAGCTTCTGAGATGCAACATTCAACATGCTAACTGGCTGTCAGACACGTTAGGACATTAACTGATGGGTCCTCATGTCCATTGTCCTGCACAAAGAAGAGCACTGCATCAAGTCAAATGAAATCTGTAAACTTGATGGAATTTAAGAAGAAGAAAAAAAGCTTAGGCTGTGTTTAGTTCGCGAATTTTAGAAATTTGGCTACTGTAGCATTTTCGTTTTTATTTGTCAATTAGTGTTCAATCATGGACTAATTAGGCTCAAAACGTTCGTCTCGCAATTTCCAACCAAACTGTGCAATCAGAAAAGGAAGTTATGGCGGGAGACTTTGGAGTCCAAAGGTTTTAAACTCAGTAGAAACTAAAACTGAGTGTATGAGATGTGACTTCGGCACTACTACTCGGAAGGAGAAAGATGTTAGTTTGGAAGGTCAAGTAGTGCCTAGAAAGGATACCTTTCGATATTTATGATCAATGCTACAGAGGGACGGGGATATTGATGAATATGTTAGCCATAGAATCAAAGCAGGGTGGATGAAGTGGCGGCAAGCGTCTGGTGTCCTATGTGACAAAAGGGTACCACATAAGCTAAAAAGCAAGTTTTATAGAACGGCGATTAGACTTGCTATGTTGTATGGTGTAGAATGTTGGCCTACGAAAAGACGACATGTTCAACAGCTAAGTGTCGCGGAAATGCATATGTTGCGTTGAATTTACGGTCATACAAGAAGGGATCGAGTTCGGAACGATGATATACGTGATAGATTAGGGGTAGCGCCAATTGAAGAAAAGCTTGTCCAACACTAGTTGAGATGGTTTGGACATATGCAACGGAGACCTTTAGAGGCACCGGTGCGTAGTGGAATCCTAAGCCAGGATAGTAACATGAAGAAAGGCAGAGGAAGACCGAAGTTGACTTGGGTAGAGGCAATAAAAGGAGACTTGAAAGGATGGAATATACCCAAAGACTTAGCCTTAGATAGGAGTGCTTGGAAGACAGCTATTCACGTGCCTGAACCTTGATTATTTCTGATGAGTTTGAACTCTAGCCTATCCGAACTTGTTTGGGATTTAAAGGCTTTGTTGTTGTTGTTGATTTAATGATCCATATACGTATCGTAAGATTCGATGTGATAACTACTAAAGTATTTTTTGAGAAACTTTTTGAGAACTAAACAAGCCATTATATATGTTAGTTATTTATTGCATGAACTGAGTTAACGGTGCATGGTCACACATCTCATTATGAACCTTGAATTGAACACAGGCCACAGGGAGAACGCATGCACGTTTCTACTGTACCAGGGGTGTTTTGTTCGAGCTACTCAACTTTAGTAGCTACTAAATGATTTAGTTACTTTTAGTAACTCCAGAGATACTAGAGAGGACTAAATCCCTTTTATTAGCTTTTAGTCATAGTGTTTGGTTAAAAAGTTACTAAAGTGACTAAAAGCTACTAAATTTAGTAGCTACCAGGCATAGAGTAACAGGCAAATGAACAGCAGTTTTATGCTGCCACAACTCACAATTGCTACCGTTGCATAATCTAGTAAATAAGTAGTTCAGAGATCTTTTCCATTTAAGATCGCTCATACACTAGAGCCAAATTTGCAGGTCCTCGACTCATTTCATATCTGTTTTCCCCCTTTTTTTTGTTCAGACTTTACTGAGTGTAAAAGCGCGAAGAAGAAAATAGGCCTAAATGATAAACCCTAACCTGAAAGTGCTCTACTTTTTTTTTTTATTGACACGTGAGGGTGTACAAGTACAACCGCCTTCGCTTTTGTACCAACTGAGCTAGCCTATACCGGCAGAGACACAGAGTACGTAGAGTATTTGTAAGTGGTAGTAGCACAGAGGAAGATGAGGTGGGAAGTGGAAAGTGGCAGCAGCAATACAGAGATCGAGCCTATGAATCAGTCACAGTACGATCGAGTTGCGTGTCGGTCACTCGGTCCAAGCATCTGCATCTCTCTGTCTATTTTTTCGTCAATAAACAGCCTTATTTACTTGACTTATAAGCCATACTTATTTCTCCCTAAATCAGGACGGTACTCTCAGCCAGCCAAGCGAACAGGGCGTAAACCCGCACGCGTCGCTGCTCTTCGATCTCTGCAGCCCCTGCATTGCATTGCATACTGACAGGAGATGGCAACGCTAGCGGTGCTACTCTTGCTCGCCCTGCTCTTCTTGACGTTCTCCTCTTCAGCTCAAGGCCATGGCGTCGGGCGCTGGATCAATGCGCACGCCACCTTCTATGGCGGCGCCGACGCTTCCGGCACGATGGGTACGTACCTTGATCAATTGATCCCCCGGCGAGCTTCTTTTACCGATGCTGTTGCTGCCTAATGAACGTGGTTGATCATCGATTGCTGCTGCCTCCAATACCTATAAACTAATAGGGAAGGAGCAATGCACAGGTGGCGCGTGCGGGTACGGCGACCTGTACAGCCAGGGCTACGGCACGGCGACGACGGCGCTGAGCACGGCGCTGTTCAGCGGCGGGCAGAGCTGCGGTGCGCCGGCGGCGACCGTGGCTCGTGCGCGCCGGGCGGCGCAGCAACAACCGTGCTGACGGCCACCAACCTGTGCCCGCCCAACTACTCGCTCCCCAACGACGCCGGCGGGTGGTGCAACCCGCCGATGCGGCACTTCGACCTGTCGCAGCCGGCGTTCCTCCGCATCGCCCGGTACCGTGCCGGCATCGTGCCCGTCGCCTACCGCAGGGTGCCGTGCCGGAGGCGGGGCGGCATCCGGTTCACCGTCAACGGCCACACCTACTTCAACCTGGTGCTGGTCGCCAACGTGGGCGGCGCCGGCGACGTGCGCGCGCTCGCCGTCAGGACCCGGACGACGCGGTGGCTGGCCATGGCGCGAAACTGGGGACAGAACTGGCAGAGCGCCGCGCGCCTCGACGGCCAGCCGCTCTCGTTCAGGGTCACCAGCAGCGACCGCCGCTCCGTCGTGTCCTACAACGCCGCGCCGCCCGGGTGGGCCTTCGGCCAGACATTCACCGGCGCCCAGTTCCCGTAATTAACAGCCAACATTAATATTTCTGAAAACAAGTTCAGTTTTTGCACGTGTAATGGGTGGGCTTCACTGAATGTCTGAATCGATCAATCAATGAGATATATACATACATATAAGCATGACTGCGTGGGCTCATCCTTTTGCATTTGTAATAAGATTTTGTACGTTTAGTGTATCCTAAACGAGGCTGCAAATCCGGATTTCTTCGTGTATCGTAGCTGGCGCTAGCTGGAAGTGTTGAGAGCGCGGAGGAGCAGGAGGCGAGTAAAAGCAAGATCGATCGCGGCAGGGATTTGTTTCCATGCATGGCGATCGCGGCAGTAACTCGGACGCGCTGGATGGTTCAAATCTTAGCCGCATCCAACACACTTACCGCATCAGGAATCCGGGATCCGGCGCACAGGGAGAAAGGATTTACTCGGAGCATATCTGAAATTCATGCGCGGCAGATAGCCCCCCGTCGTCAATGCTGAGATACAGCTCAGCTGCCCGATCGAGGATATGCATGGCGTCGCCGCCCGCCCGCCCGCCCGCTTATATATCCAAGCGCGTGCGTGCGTGGAAGACGGAGATTGACGAGCGCCGCTAGGTGGCCATAGCTTCGCTGGAGAGAGAATATTTAAAATCGCGGCGACGATCATGGTGAGCGGAGAGGCCGGCGGGAAGAAGCGGAAGGCCTCCGCCGCCGAGAACATCACGTCGCCGGCGGCGAGGCGGGAGCCGCGGCGAGGGCTGGGCGTGGCGGAGCTGGAGCGGATCAGGGTGGCGCTCGAGATGGCCGAGCGCTGCTACGCCGCCGCGTCGTCCCTGTCGTCGGCGCCTAAGCATCACCCGCCGCCGGCGCTGCCTCTGGTCGTCCATGCGGCCGGCGTGGCAGCGGCGCCGGGACACCACCAACACGTACGCGCGCCTGCCGATTCCGATGCAGCCCACTCCCTCCCTGTTCTCACACACTGTCAGAAAATAAAAGTATTTTTAATTTCAGTACAAGAATTTACAGGTCGGAAATGGAGCTGTTCATCACCTGCAAATGGCAAGAGGGTATTTGGCTCCGTATTGCCTCGCCCAGCATTATTACAGCAATGATTCTTTGACCAGGCAAGTATCCGGTGGTGTTTTGGTGTATTGATCCAGTGACTAAAATTTAGAAAATATGTCAGGAGGATGTTTAATAGGTGTTTAGATACTAATAAAAAAACAAATTACATAATCCGTCAGTACTTTACGAGACGAATTTTTTAAACCTAATTAATCCGTCATTAGCACATGTTTACGGTAGCACCACGTTGTCAAATCATGGACTAATTAGGCTTAAAAGATTCGTCTCGTAAATTAGTCACAAACTATGTAGTTAGTTTCGTAATTAATCTATATTTAATATTCCATGCACATGTCCAAATATTTAATGGGACAGCGACTAAAATTTAGAAGAGGCAACCAAACACCACCACTACACAATTTGCATTTATATATTTACCGATCATGGCTTCAAGACGAGAAAGGCCTATGATAAGCAATATATATAATGGCCTGTGACTTGCTTTAGACTCGTTCTAAACGATCATGCTTTGGTTGTGTGCGTCAGCAGGCTGTTTACAACGAACGGCGGCCACTCTTCGTCCCATCAGAACCATCATTCGTCTCATCAATATCATCAGGCCGATCAGATTCAGAGCGCCGTCACTGCACTTCCTGTCATGGGACACGCTGCGTCGTCTGAGGTGGACTATTTCCTCCGTCCAAACTGTTTTTCTTTTTCTACGTACAACTCCTTACTCTATTTCTGGACATAACATATATCTAGATACGTAATAAAAAATACGTATAATCAACTTATAATTTAGAGAATGTAGAGAGTATATTACTGTATCTTTCTTTACAATATCCCCATAGGCTATGCATGCTTGGTTGATTTAGTTTACAGTGGCAAGTGCTGTTTACCTGGTCTGACGTGCAGAGCTCATCATCGGCGAGCCAGCGGCAGGGTCACCGGCGAGCGCATGCCAAGCCTGGCCAGACGACGGCGCCGCCCCAGGTCGCATTCGTGGACCTCGTCGACTCAGACGACGAGACTTTCGGCGGCGACGTCGAGGAGCTGGACTTGGAACTTAAACTATAGAATGAATTACATTTGCTGTCAAAATGTCAGGTTGTTGATGATCCAACAATGTGTTCAATTCTTTATTTGCATAGAAGCCGTCAAAAATCATTGTAATTAGTAGTACGTACACACTTCAAGTATGCCGTACGTAGATTCCCATTGTATAGAGCAGTTTGGTTACACAGGAATGCCTCTAAGTATAAATAAATAAATAAATAATAAATTGATTTAATATAAAGTTCGTGTAATAAAAAAGCAAAAAGTCGTCTTGATGATGCGTTGACGTAAACATTGCACGGCGCCTTCCACCCGGCCCCTGCCCGTACCATAAAACCGCTCCTCCCCCGCAATTTTAAAAAACCATGTGAACCTATATTTAAATAAAAAATAAAATAAAGGCTCGACGCCTCGACGTCGTCGTCACCTCTCTCGCCGTCCACGGGTCACGGCGGGCGGCGGCGTCGGCCGTCAGCGGCGGCCGGGGGTCATCCCGGTCGTTCACCACCATGCCTGACCCCACCACCAAACCCCCCTCGCCACGGCCCCGCCGCCGCCGCAGGCTCTGCGGCCTCTGCCTCGGCACCGCGCTCCTCGCGCTCCTCGTCTCCGCGCTCGTCCACGTCGTCGCCCCGCCGCCGCGTCCCGCCTCCGCGCGCTTCTCCGTCATCATAGACGGAGGCAGCACGGGCACGCGGGCCCACGTCTTCGCCACGGGGCACGACGGCCGCCCGGATCTGGCGCGCTCCACCGTGATGCGCGTCTCCCCGGGCCTCTCGTCCTTCGCCGCCGACCCGGCGCGGGCCGGGGAATCTCTGAAGCCGCTGATAGATTTCGCGAGGGATAAGATTGGCGGTGCGGGCGGCGCCGCGGGGGAGGCGGAGGTGCGGCTCATGGCCACCGCAGGGCTGCGCCTGCTCGCGGAGCGCGCCCACGAGGCGATCTTAGCGTCCTGCAGGGACGTACTACGAGCCTCTGGGTTCCGGTTCGAGGACGCGTGGGCCGAGGTGATCCCAGGTACTGCCTTCCCATTGTCATTCTCTGCCACCTGGGGGAAGTGATTGTACTTTATTTAGCTCTAAAATGCTCAGTGGCTGATTGCATTGTGAATAGGGGATTGGGTGTTTAAATGAAATGACCAATAATTCAATGAATTGGAAATGCTAACTGATTCCAGGTGTGTATGTACAGAGAGCGCCAATTGCTGCTGGTTTGTTGTTGCAAATCTGCAATAGATGTGAGTTGATGGATTTGGAAATGACTAGCAGAAATATGCAGTGCAGATGCAGCTTTGGGGGATTACTAGATGACACTTCTGTTGGTTGAGTAACAGATAAAAAACTGGAATCAAAACGATGCAATGCAGCAATTTAAAGTGATGAACACAGTGCAAATTAGTAGCTAGTAAGCATAAAAAAATCGTTTTTTCCCTGTGTGTGTGTGTGGGGGGGGGCGGGGTGGTATGGTGTGTAAAAGTGCCTTTTTTGTGTCATTAGCTGAAATACTTTCAACTTGTTTGCTTACACTTGCTGCTACCTCTTTTGCAGGCTCGGATGAAGGTATCTATGCTTGGGTTGCAGCAAATTATGCTCTTGGTAGACTTGGAGGGGATCCTAACAAAACCGTTGGAATAATTGAACTTGGGGGCGCTTCAGCTCAGGTTCAGCGATGAGTGCATACGCAGTTTGTGAATATCCTTTACTCTGGGATCTTGGATCTTGTTTAACTACAGTGCATGCTAATGAGTCCCTGATAGTGTACTAAAATTCAAAAGGACTCACTTTCCTGAAATTATGATTTCTGTAAGCTTTATAAATGCCTTAAGTAATATAGGATGGTCAAATTCCACTTATGGTTTCTTAATGTTAATACATATAATAGTTTTTTTTCTGGTCATATTCCAAAAATATGTTTTTTTTACCAAAAAAGTAACTGTTGCTGTTTTGTTTCAGCTTACCTTTGTTTCTGATGAAGTACTTCCACCCGAACTGTCATATAATTATACTTTTGGTGAAAGAACATACACTCTCTATACCAACAGCTTTTTAAACTTTGGTCAAGTGAGTTATTTATATGCAGTGACTCTTCCACTTTGTATAACCTTGTGAATCCTACAATAGATTAACCGGCTGATGAATCATTTACTTCCGCAGAATGCAGCTCAAGACTTGTTCCATGAAATGCTGAGGTCAAGAGGTATTTATTTGGATTTAAATTTTCCTTACTCTATCAATATATCCAGTCTAGACTTTAGCACTATTGTGAGCTTTGTTTCTGAGACCTTGTGGCGTCCTGTTCCTGTGTCATTGGGGACATGCATTAGACCTAGGCGACTAGGCGTAACTAAGACCTTATCGCCCTGATCGCTTGGCTTATAAGCTGTACTTTTTTAGCCAACGAATAGTATTTTTCTCTCACAACAAATCAGCCAACAGTACTTTCAGCCATAGCTTATCAGCCAAGCGAACAGGGCATATGATGTCCCATGGCATTGAGAACACTCCTGGATGCCTCAAAAAACAATGCTTGCAACTCTAATTAGGAATTCAGTACCTGATGTACAAGGGAACTAAGTCTCACAAAATATATACTCTGAATGAAGAGTTCATTCACACTGTCACACGACTAGACGCTACTTAATGAACAGTTGAACACAGTGCCTATAAGTAATTCTTACTACAATTATTTTGGTATGCTATGTAAGTACAAATGTACCTGTACCATAGTTATAGGATAGGAGCCATTTTAGCAGTTTGATGAAGTGGGCACCTGACTGAAATTTCTGAAGCAGTTACTCGTTCCATTGGCTTATTATATACTTGGTAACTAAAAAGAGTGTAAGATGTGTGGGAAACAGGAAGGAATTAATAGGTTGTGTTTTCTAAAGTTGCATTATAGTCTATGG